GGGGGGGGGGGGGGGGGGGGGGGGGGGGGGGGGGAGGCGCAGAGAGAGTTACTGTAGCAGTTGTGCCGGTGGAGGTATCAAGAACATGGGCTTGTTGTCTATGGCAAAAAGAGCCACATGTCTGGACAAAGATTCTCCTGGCCGCTTTCTTTATCTGAGATGATGCTCCACCACCACCTCCGCCGCCCATCTCCACCACACACACAACACCCTTGAATTTTTGTGAACCAAAATGCTCACTCAAATGGCAATGTGTTGGAGGTAAAGGAGGAGATAAAAAGGTTACAGCTTCTCTCACTCTCACTCTCACTCTCTCTGCCTCTCCATGTGCACTTTCTTCTTTATAGTGTGTGTGTTTTCTCTCTGGACCCGCGTGAATGTGTCGCTTCAGGCTGCTATCTTATGATTGGGACTGAGGGGGCTATTCCACCATTTATTTCTGTATCCCACTGTTGTGAATTGCTCCTAATAAATAAATTCCATACGATCTTCCCCCATTAAGGCATTAATTTTACTTGGTCCACAAATTTTAGCCCTGATTGAGACACGTCCTCATTTTCATTTTTCTATTCATTTATAACCACATATTTTTTAATAAAATAATATTTTTCATCGGGTTAATTTCACTAACGGTCACTGAAATTACCTGAAAATCACAAAACGGTCACTAAAATTTAAAACTTGCAGAAACGATTACTAAAGTTTAAATTTCTTTCACAAACGGTCACTGAATTTTTAGATTTTTTGAGCAAGTTTTGCGACGATTTTCCGGAAACTTCCAACCACCAAGATCATCAGAGTTGGATACCGTTGGAAAGCCCACAATGTCCTCTTCAATTACCACCAAAACTCTCCCCATAACTCCAAGGGATTCGGCCGGAATAAACCCACGAAGTCAGCTACCAAAAAAATCTGAAAATCTGCCCAGTTTGGGTAGTTGACTTCGTGGGTTTATTCCGGCAGAATCCGTTAGAGTTATGGGGAGATTTTTCANTCCACAAATTTTAGCCCTGACTGAGACACGTCCTCATTTTCATTTTCATTTTTCTATTCATTTTTAACCACATATTCTTTAATAAAATAATATTTTTCATCGGGTTAATTTCACTAACGGTCACTGAAGTTACCTGAAAATCACAAAACAGTCACTAAAATTTAAAACTTGCAGAAACGGTTACTGAAGTTTAAATTTCTTTCACAAACGGTCACTGAATTTTTAGATTTTTTGAGCAAGTTTTGCGACGATTTTCCGGAAACTTCCGACCACCAAGATCATCAGAGTTGGATACCGTTGGAAAGCCCACAATGTCCTCTTCAATTACCACCAAAACTCTCCCCATAACTCCAAGGGATTCGGCCGAAATATACCCACGAAGTCGGCTACCGAAAAATCTAAAAATCTGCCAAGATTTTCAGATTTTTTGGACGAGTTTGCAGCAATATTCGGCCAACTTCCAATCACCAATACCGCCGGTTTCGGTTATCGTTGGAAAGCCCACAATGTCATCTTCAATTATTACCAAAACTCTCCCCATAACTTCAAGGGATTCAACCGGAATAAACCCACGAAATCAGCTACCAAAAAAAATCTGAAAATCTGCCCAATTTGGGTAGCTGATTTCGTGGGTTTATTCTGGCCAAATCCGTTAGAGTTATGGGGAGATTTTTTGAGGTAATTGAAGATGTCATTGTAGGCTTTCCAACGGTATTCGAAACCGACGGTATTGGTGATCGGAAGTTGCCGGAATATTGCCGCAAACTCGTCTAAAAATTTTGAAAATCTGGGTAGATTTTCAGATTTTTCGGTTGCCGACTTCGTGGGTATATTTCAGCCGAATCCCTTGGAGTTATGGGGAGATTTTTGGTGGTAATTAAAGAGGACATTGTGGACTTTCCAATGGTATCCAAATCTGACGGTCTTGGTGGTCCGAAGTTGCCGAAAAATCGCTGCAAAACTCGCCCAAGAAATCTGAAAATTCAGTGATCGTTTGTGAAAAAAATTTAAATTTCAGTGACCATTTCTGCAAGTTTTAAACTTTAGTGACCATTTTGTGATTTTCACGTAACTTCAGTGACCGTTTGTGAAATTAACCATTTTCCATCACATTAGTAACTTTTCCTTTCTTTTTTTCCAATCATATATTCACCATCATATCACACAAAAAAATACAATCTCTCCTAAAAAATGTTCATCAAACACACTCTTAGTTTGTTTCAGAATCATCACTTGAACATTACATTATATTTCATTCAGATCAATAAAACCGTTTGGCCCCCATTATTTTTCATTAAATTATAATTCATTTTTCTCACTATTGTTATCAATAACACTTTTTTTTAATAAAATAATATTACACATAAACACAAAAAAAATTTCCCTCTTTTTTAACCGCACATTTTTCAAAAAATTATTATTCATTTCATTATAATGTGAAATAATGAGAGCCAAACGGGTGCGTATGTTCGTGTGTCAAGCCATCAAATTGTTAGAATTTTCGATTAAATATTATGACTTGGAGCACAAACAAGTAGATTCTCCCGTTAAAATATGGATGCCAAACAAAGTCGGTAGTTTGAAAGAGACAATTTATAAAGTTTAACAGCGATGAGTTTGGACCAAAGTTCAGTTGTCAAGGTAGCACTAATTACCAAATTGAATAGCCATTAGTGAAAGGATGTGTTCATGAACCAAATCGTCAAATTGTTAGGATTTTTAATTAGGTACCATGTCTTGTCACGCAGACATGTAGAATCAAATTGATGTCAAGCTGAGTTGGTAGTTTGAACAAAACATTTTATAAAGTTTAGTGAAACAAATTAAAACAATGCTATAGGTACAAAAAATTATCCACAAAAAATGGACAGAATACATACAACAAGTGGGATTCGATTTTTTAGCAATATTTAATTTATGTGGACCCCGCCACCCCATGTGAGTGGAATTTAAATCTCTGTAGAAAATCTGTATTCTTTTCCTATACTTGCAACCTTTTTCAACAAATTAAGGCCATGTTTAACACTTATTTTCATTCTCATTTTTTTCCTCTTTCCTCATTTCAACAACACATTCTCCAAATAAAATAATATTACACACAAATCTAAAACTTTTCATTATTTTTCAACCACACGTTCTTCCATCAATCAATATTCCAGAATTTATTTTTTCCCCCAAAATGGGTATCAAACACAAGCTAAGTGTTTGCCCCATTTTTGATAAATTATAAATTTTGGAATGGTGGTTGATGAGAAACGTGTGGTTGAAAAATAATGAAAAATTTTAGATTTGTGTGTAATATTATTTTATTTGGAGAATGTGTGGTTAAAATTAAGAAAGAGAAAAATTTTAAAAAAATTAATGGAGGCCAAACGCTAGCTAAAATTTTGCCCTAAATGCAAAATTCAATGACCATCGGTGAAATTAACTCATTTCTTAAATGTTACAAGTATTTTACCATTTACCAGGGAAGTAGGAATACTTTATTTGGCTTTTTCATTAAGGATCTCTTTGATAGGTAAATGTGAACAGGAATTCAAATTTCATGTTTGTTAGAAAATAAAAAGTTACCAAACCCATAGGAATTAGTTTTCCGTGAAAATAAAGGAATTCGATTTTCATTTCCACGTTTCAATCAAACAGTCAAAGTGAAATTCGTTTTCCTCGAATGTGACATTTTCCACGAAATTCGTTGCAATCAAACTTGGCCTTAATTATACACTTTCATCTTTTTTCTTCTTTATCAGTTTAGTCTTTTCTCTTCGTCCTTTCGAATTCCGGGGAAAAACATGTGGGATTTTATCAATTTACCTTTGGTGTTCAAAGAAATAGTAAATATCATGTTATAAAATTAATTTATTTAGAGCATATACAGAGTGATCGTAATTCGAGTCTAATCTTTTAATAATAAACAATATTTTACTACGGTGCAAGAATTATTGATATTAATAAACTTATTCATCTTCTGTTCCACTATTTATATTATTTTTAATTTTTCTTTTCTAAATTTAACTCTATTTTTTGCACTATGTGGTAACAATTTGTAGTGTATTGATGGCTAAATAGAGTAATTTGTGTCGACGTAATTTTATTAAACTTGTTCAGTAGATTTTCATTCATTAATTATACTAAAAATGCAATATGAAAAAGAAGTGTGTTTTTGATAAATTATTTGAAGTGAAAAATAATTTTCTTAAACAATGTGTGGTTAAACGTAAGAAAAAGTTATAGATCCACTACACAATTATTTTATTAGGATAATTTTCGATTTAAATGAATTTGAGAAAAAAATAATTTTCAAATAAATTGTGTCACATAAATATTAGATTGGCCATAAACAATAAATTAAGGAGAAAAAAGGAGGCGTGGGGGCGTCGCGGGGGGGGGGGGGGGGGGGGGGGGGGGGGGGGGNGGGGGGACCGTTAGGATTTGAATTTAAACTTTTGGTTTTGGTATCAATAATAATGATGGGGTTGTGGCCACCTATGCTGGCTACCACTTTGAAGTCAAACAATGTTTATTGAACACTAAAGGTGGTTGACGGATAAATAAGGCTAGAGGTTGAAGTAGAACGTTTAGATATTGTCGACTCCTTTGTATTGTAAAGAATAACGAGTATTGGATGAATTTTCATGAATTTGATCGAGAATGTGAAATATTATAACCAAAAATATGGGCGATAAAAAAGTCTAGGGTCGTTTGTCTACTTGGCATGTCCGGGTCGAGGGGTGGAGTGTCCAGGGCCACCAGCAGGGTCGAGAATGTGATGCAGATCTGGCTCGATTCTTGAATACTAAATCATTTCAAACGAGACAAGATTTAAGAGTAGTTTCATATGTAAACATAAGAACTCAAGAGGGGGTGGGATGGGGTAGGGACAAAATGCTTTACCTCCACAAATTTCTTGGATCACACCATGAGTCACGAGAGAAACTCAACTACATATGGGTCCTTTCGTATTTAATTGAAGAAAGCTAATCATATTAATTGAAATTAACTATATATTATAATTAATTAAACCTTGACTAAAGACAGCTAAAAATATCGTGCTCCATAAATAATTATAGATTCTTAATTCGCAAGTTAGTATGAAAATTAATGGGACCACAATTTGAATTATAAAAGTTAATAGAGCCGGCCTATTAGGTATATACAATTGTTCACGGACCCATGACTATGTTTGCATCCCTAATAATTTTGAGGTATGATTAGGAATTATGCTCAAGACAAACATATGATCTAATAAAGCATCGTTTTTCTATACTAATGTATCATCGATACGTAGAATTCGACGGAGTTCAGCACTATACAACTAATAAACTTTGTTAATAAATCGTGCCCCACCAAATATATATTTCAAAAATTGCTTAGCCCCTGTATGATTTTGATAAAAATCTGATTTTAATTGATTTTGATAAAAATTGATGAAATGTGTTATTGAGAAGTTAATAAAAATTGTGAATAGAAATGAATTTTAGAAAATGAGGTCAAATGGGGATTTACTCATTTGACGTGCCACGTGTGTCGATCGAAAATGAGCATTAATGGTATTAATATTATTAGTTTAGACGATCATCGTGTGACTTTATAAAGTATATCCTCGTAATTACTTATAATGTGGCGTGATTATAATTCATATACTCGAGCGCTCAAGAACGTGCTTAATAGATCACCAAATAACAATCTCCGAAGTTGCTTCTATGCTTTTCAAGTATGCAAACTAACCCTCTAGCCATTAATTTCTCAAAGACCACAAAAGAGGAATAGTTCAAAACTTGAGAATAAGTGATTTTTTTTTAGGAAAAAAAAAGTTGGAGAATGGACTGTCTATGTGGTAAAGCATAATGGGACATTATTAAGGCTTTGGGGGAATCTATCTTTTATGACTGATAAAAGGGATTTCCGCCTGCCTGTTCGCCTTTGATCGGGTCCTTCGCCATCGATTCTTTGTTCCTCAAAAGAAGAAAAAAGACGAGATTTTCCGGGTTTCTCAACAAAAAGTAAAACGGTCCAAACCCAGTTTTTCTTATTTTTGGTTGGCAAACAAACAAGAAATGTTTTTCAAAGTACATAAAAGACTGTGAGACATTTGACCGGTTCAAACCATGTTTATGGTGAATCAATAAGCCACTAAAATAAGGTGATGACTTCAATACAATGTGTGGATTTGGACCCTTTTTGAATACATCACAAAATCTCCTTGGATTGTAGTGCATAAATATGGGCATGGACATTTTGGTTCCAACGTTTAGTTTTTGCACGTAAGTTACGGTAATTTTTTCTTTTCTCAAAAATAACATGTGATATGGATATCTAATTGGAGTTTTCATCGTATTGTCCTGATTTTTTTTTTTTTGGAAAAGAACATAAAATATAGACGTGGAGTATTGTGGATTTTCAAAAAAAAAAATAAAACGATGAAGTATGTGAATCACACGTGCACTCATATAATTGACAAACTAACTATTTTTATGATTAAAGAGAGTAATTATCTACTAGAATCTCGAATATATATATGCCAAAAGAGCATTATTAAACCATAATACATTGATTAAAAAGAAAATAATTTAAATCCATGAAAGTTCATAGCATAAGACATTTTTTTTCAACTTTGTTACATAGGTGTATTTAATTATAATCATGCTAAGAAACAAGAATCACGTCTTTAAATTCATAATTCAAAAGACACCTGCAAAAAACATATTGAATGCAAATATTAGTAGCTTGATCTTCGTCTCCTTGCTCCTCACAAAAGTATTAGTCTTCAATGGGGCACGCGAATAAAACATATGGGGAGGAGAGGGGACCTAACCTCTTATATAGAAATTTATCAAACCGTCCCATTAATAACTCAAACCCTAATTTGGGTTTAGATATTCGTAGCCCACATACTTAAACTACCACATTATATAGGATATAACCCTATATAACTAAGGTGTAAAACTGCCCAAGTGATCATTCAATATATCGAGCTTAATCATGGTACCATTAGAAGTTACCCGTTCTATAAAACATAAAATTTTTAATCAAATGAAAAGCTCATATTTTGAAATTTATTCTGACATTCTCCCACTTATGCGAACATTTGACTGCTATTAAATAATAAAACAAAACTTTTGACTCTCGGATGAAACTACATAGGTGCCACACATATATAACTTCAATAATAACACCTTAGAAAACATAATCCGGTCCAACAAGAATCTCATATCGAATACGGAAATCGTTATACAATTTAAACGATGTAAGACCACTCCACAGCTATAAATGCTAACATCCTTATCGACATTAATCCTTATCTTCCAAACAATGTAGCCACCTATGTAGTCTAACTCAATGTGATAAAAAAAATTGTATTAATTCATATCGGTCATGTCTAATAATGATTCAAATCAAAATGAAGCCACATGTCTCCAAAAGAGACTCGTTATATCTCGAGATCATAATATTATTATAATAAAAGATATAAGCCAAATGCATGCTCAAAAATAATTTATGGATAGAGGAATATATATTTTTTTATTGGAAGAGGGTTGTACCTGAAAAACATATGGGTTGTCTACGTACCCCATGAAGGAATCAAGCCAAAACGTAGTAATTTTATGTAAATAACTCTCACTAACCAAAAATATCAAAGGTTTCCACAATATCCATATTAACAACATGTGTTTTAAAAACTTTTGGAGCAAGTTCCTTAATCAAAGGATTTGCAATCATCGTCTCTATTGATATGCTCTGTTTTCATATGTCATTCCTTAACTCTTTTTCTAAACATCAAATATTTAATGTCAATATACTTTAACCCACCATAAATTTTATTATTTATTGAAAAGAACACCGTTGCGCTGTTATCACAGTAAATAGTGATTTGATTCGAGATGAAATCAACAACTTTTAGCATGGAAATAAAATTCTTTAACCAAACTGCTTGGGCCGTAGCTCCATAACACGCCACAAATTCAACCGCATAGTAAAAGATACTACTAGAGTCTTCTTAACACTTTTCCATTAGATAGCACCACCAGCCAATATGAAAATATAACATGAGATTGATTTTAAATCAACTTGACATCCTTCCATTAGATAGCACCACCAGCCAATATGAAAATATAACATGAGATAGATTTTAAATCAACTTGACATCCAGTAAAATCAGAATCTAAGTAGCCACCACCTCAAGGTGATCTGAACACTGGAAAGTAAGCATGCAACTTTCAGTTTTCTTCAAGTATCTCATAAATATCTTAACCACTTTCCAATGCTCTTGTCCTAGAATTGACTGAAACCTACTAAGGACACTAACTGCGTAGGCTATATTTGATTTAGTGCAAACTTGAGCATACATCAAACTCCTTACAACGCTAGTATATGGTATCATCTTTATAGATTCTCTTTCTAGCTCATTCCTTGGACATTGAGCTTTCTTAAACGTATCCCCTTTTATGATAGGTACATCACCAAGTGTGCAGTTCTGCATATTAAACCTTTCTAGAACATGTCGTATATAAACCTTCTGAGAAAGTCTCAACGAGTCACGATTTCTATCACGATATATTTCAATGCCAAGCACATAAGAAGTTTCTCCAAGATCTTTCATATCAAAATTACCGAAAAACAATTTCTTTGTCTCATGAAATAACCCCAAGTCACTACTAGCAAGCAAACTGTCATCAATATACAAGACAAGAAAAATAAAATCTCCCATTGGACTTGAGATAATTGAACTGATCGACTGTATTTTCAACAAAACAAAAAGAAGTTACATCCTCATCAAACTTCAAATATCACTGTCGAGATACTTGCTTGAGGTCATACAAGGATTTGTTCAACTTACATATCAAGTTTTCTTTTCCTTTTACAACAAAACCTACAGGTTGTCTTATGTAAACCTTTTTAGAAAGATCTCCATTCAAAGGGCTATCTTAATATCCATATGATGAAGCTCCAAATTATAGTGTGCCACAAGTGCCATGATAATTCGAAATTTTTTTTTGGACGAAACATGTGATAAGGTAGCACAAAATGTGATACAAAAAATTGTATTAATTCATATCGGTCATGTCTAATAATGATTCAAATCAAAATGAAGCCACATGTCTCCAAAAGAGACTCGTCATATCTCGAGATCATAATATTATTATAATAAAAGATATAAGCCAAATGCATGCTCAAAAATAATTTATGGATAGAGGAATATATATTTTATTATTGAAAGAGGGTTGTACCTGAAAAACATATGGATTGTCTACGTACCCCATGAAGGAATCAAGCCAAAACGTAGTAATTTTACGTAAATAACTCTCACTAACCAAAAATATTAAAGGTTTCCACAATATCCATATTAACAACATGTGTTTTAAAAAATTTTGGAGCAAGTTCCTTAATCAAAGGATTTGCAATCATCCTCTCTATTGATATGCTCTGTTTTCATATGTCATTCCTTAACTCTTTTTCTAAACATCAAATATTTGATGTAAATATGCTTTAACCCACCATAAATTTTATTATTTATTGAAAAGAACACCGTTGCGCTATTATCACAGTAAATAGTGATTTGATTTGAGATGAAATCAACAACTTTCAGCATGGAAATAAAATTCTTTAACCAAATTGCTTGGGCCGTTGCTCCATAACATGCCACAAATTCAATATTTTTTTTTGGACGAAACATGTGAGAGGGTTTCATTATAGTCAATGCCTTCTTGCTGAGTGAACCCTTTTGTCACCAATCTTGACTTCTTTGGTTGAACATTTGCTTTTGAATCCAATTTGCTTTTTAAAATTCACTTGTTATCTATGGCTTGAGCATTTGGAGGAAGTTCAACAAGTTCCAAAACTTTATTCTATTCTATAGAATGCATTTCATCTACCATAGAAGTTATCCATTTATGTGACTTGGGACTTGTCAATATTTGATCAAAAGTAATAGTATCAACAATATGTACAATGTTAAAATCAATATCCAATAAATAAGCCATGTAATCACTGGGCAATGTAAATCTCATTTCCCTTTGCGATCTTCTGACTTGTGGCTCGAAAACGGACTCTATCGTTGTTGGAGGAACTGTAAGTACCTCTTAGTGTCCCGTAGTTCCATGTTTTGATCAGATTCGTCGTACTTCCCGTAGTTCTTGCCACTACAGTCAAATCTTACAACTTTGATACTTTTCCCACATTATTTCTCTATTTCCATTTTGAAAATCTTGAATTTCGTAAGATCATGAGATTTATCATTAATTAGGTAAAAATAGCCATAGCGCGAGAAATCTTCAATGAAATTTATGAAATATTTGTTCCCACATATGGTGGAAGGTAAATGTCTACTAATATCGATATTTATCAAGTCCAAAATATCATCGCTCCTCATTGAACATTTCTTTATGGACTAGTCAACTTTCATCTTATACAATCTACACGAGTATCAAAATCAGAGAAGTCTAGAGAGGTAAGTCTTTCAACTTTTATCAATATCTCCATCATATCCCTTAAAAGGTGCCCTAACCATTTATGCCACAACATAGATGATGATTCACGGATTAGAGACATTTTATTTGCCACATTAGAAACACGAGATTTCACCAAAAGGAGCCAAAGACAATTTCACTACTCTTATGAACTTAACAATCACTTGAACTCCATTCCCAATGCACAAGCCCACATCATTCTCACTTGGCCTCCTTTTGCTTGTGAACCTTTGTATAACTCTTTTTCTTCTCTAACCAAACCTTAAACTTAAAACAACTTTCTGCCAATAAACATTCTTTTTGCAGAACTTGCATTGATATTTCTTTTTTATAGTTTTTTAGGACTACCAGAAGTCTAACCTCCAAAACTTTTATTGTGCTGATTGTGTGACTTATTGCCCTTATGGAACTATGAAGAAAAATGATCAATGGTCTTACATTGCTTAAATTGTGTAACGACTTTCATGTTCGATGATAACATTCTTGTTGGACCGGATCATGTTTTCTAAGGTGTTATCATTGGACTATATATGTGTGGCCACCTATGTAGTTTAACCCGAGAGTCAAAAGTTTTTTTAATTTAATAGCAATCAAATGTTCGCCTAAGTGGGAGAATTTTATAATAAATTTCAGCAAATTTGATTTTGAGAGTTCGAGTTGCACAAAACGAAAATACAAAAATATAAAACACTATTCTTTTTTATGAAGGATCATGATCTTAGTATGTGCCTCTAATATCAATTGTTGTATTTAATAATAATCGTGCTAAGAAATAAGAATCACATCTTGAAATTCATAGTTCAAAAGATACCTAGAAAAAAACATTTTGAATGCAAATATTAGTAGCTAGATCTTCCTTTTCTTTCTCCTCACAAAAGTAGTAACCGTCAATGGGGCAAGCCAATAAAACACATGGAGAGGAGATGTGATCTAACCTCTTGTGTAGAAACTTATCAAGCCGTCCCATTAACAACTCAAACTCTAATTAGTATTTAGATATTTTTGGCCAACATACTTAAATTACCACATTATATAGGATATAATCCTATATAACTAAAGTGTAAAACGACCCAAGTGATCACTCGACATATTGGGTTTAATCATAGTATCATTAGAAGCTATACATCTAACTCGTTTTATACAACATAAAATTTGCAATCAAATGGAAAGTCCATAGTCTAAAATTTATCCTAACAAACAAATCAATTATTTTTCATCCCTTTAATTATCATTTTTTAATATGAATCCAAATGTCTATTGCTTGTTCGAAAGGTGTTTGAGAATATCTGGAGTCGTGTAGTATTGAAATGAACCAATTATGCCGACAGCTAAGAGAAGTGCAAGTTTTCAAACAACGTTACCCCCCTCACCCCCCACCAACATTAGTATTAATTTTTCTTCCTCTCGGTGGATTTTCCAAAAGAAAGAATAATTAGAATATCATTTATAAAGTAATAAGAAAAATAATCGGATTGTTTATTTGCCACATATTTATTCACTCAACTTTTGAAAATTATAATTTGTCCTTCAGGTTCTTTTTAATTTGTTGGAAAAACATAAGTAGAAGGATATATGATAATTGTTGCCTCTTGTGACTACTGTTTGGCAAAATTTATAAGGAACCGTTGACATAACTTCTGAAAAAAATCCACTTCTGATATTAAGAAACTATTTTGAAGATATTTGAATAATTTTTAATGTGCCTTGTCTGATTATAAGAGTTTTTAGAGAAAAACGATCTAAGATACATTCTTCAAAAATCTCTTCTATAACCAGTAAAATAAAAAATCTTACCAAATGTGTCTTAAATTATTTATAAATGATTAAATTTCATTTTCAATCATACATTTTAATGAATCAACAAGTAATATTTATTTATCCATTAATTATTTTTATCTATTTATAAATTAAATCATTTATAAATTCCCAAACATAGGTTTAATTTTGAAGAGGGACACATTTTTAAATATGAGATTTATTAATGAATTAATATATGCTACAAAATATTTTCAAATAGTGACACTACGAAGTTAATATAAGAAAATGAAACAATAAAAAAATGGTATAAGTAGTGGAATAGAAGGTAATTATCCCTATATATTAATATGTACACAATGATGTATAAATAATATTATGTTATTTATATTATAGTACTAATATCATGCATGGATGCACCAACCTTTTTCAAAAGAAAATAGGCAGGCAACGTGATACTATTGGAAATTAACAAAATTTGATTTGCTTATATTTTATCTGCCCACACCAACCAATATGATAATAAATGATAAAATTGTAAAAGTTGAGAAAATTACTAGTTGACTTCATTTTCTCTAAAAAAAAAAAAAAAAGAAATACATAATTGGGCCAAAAACTGGGCCGACCTCCATATGGCCAGGCTAACGGGCCTCAAATATTTTGATGGATAATTTTGATACTTGCCCTTCTTTTCTTTGAAGAGCTAAAAAATTCCTACTTTTCAATTTTATAAAACAATACCTTATTTTCATTAAAATCATTTTTTTTCACAATTTACTTCTTTTATAATTTTACAAGAATTACTTTATTTTCAATTAAAAATTAATATTTCATTTTTCCTTTGGAAACATTTTTACACTGGTAACATATTATGCTACCATATATTAATTAAACAAGACTTTTTTTTTTTTTTTGCACGGGTAACATGTTGTGTATTACCATATATCAATTTTTATTTGAAAAATAACATTTCACATGGATAACGTATTCTGTTAACTGATGCTACTCTTTTATTATTATTAAAATTCAATGAAAACATTGTTTCACTTCATTGAAAAAGTTACATTTTACTAGATCTTATGTTGTGTTACACAATGTTATTTTTATTTATAAACATTTCTTTTTACACATGCAACATATTGTGTTATTCATACTTTTTGTTAAACCAATATCATCTACAAAATATCTTGCTGCGCTTGCACCACCCCATCCCCAAACTAGTTTCTCTAAAACATCACCTTCTATCACCACCACCCCGCTTGGAATCGAGCTCCCTGTTAAGAATTGAGGTTCCATCTTAAAAGATCAACCTTATTAAGAGGAGTAATTCAATCATTTATAAGTTGGTCTATATTTACATCTTTATTTGATGTGAGATTTTATCCCTTAACATGCCCCCTAAAGATGGTGGTTCGTTTGAGTAGACCAATCTTGAAATCAGTATGCTCACTTTTGGAGTCTTAATCGGATTGAATTGCTCATTAGA